ACCATTTTTGTAAAAAGTTGTTTTGATTTGATGAAAATGAAATGTGGTAAAATTTGCAATTATTTAAAATACAAACCAATAAAATCCTTTCTGTAGTTTTTTATAATTTAAAAAAAATTACCAAGATACAATTTATAAGTGTGTATATATATATATATATATATATATATATATATATATATATAATATGTGGTGCAGTTAAATTTATGTTACAATGAATCATTCATACAAAAAGTAGATTAGTAAAGTTAATGATATAAAATGGTGAAATCTCTTTGCAAACAAAATTTTAAAGTTGCATTAACCTACAAACCACTTGATGAATGTTATGATCCTTGTTTTTAATAACTACAAGTTGTATAATTTTATATCATTAACTTTACTAATCTACTTTTTGTATGAATGATTCATTGTAATATAAATTGAACTGCACCACATATTTGATTTAAAAAAACTGATCCGACATGCAAATTTTCAGGATAAAAACTGAGACATTACTCTATTTATTGAACAATTTAGTTCATACCACATTGGCTGATAAAGTCCTACAACAAAAAAAAAATTCTCAAATTACCATATTAGTAAAAAAACGCTCTCTCTTAAATTAAAAAAAAAATTCAACCTTAGCATTGCGACTGCATGCTCCAAAAGTTTTTATCCATTAATAATAACACATTTCTAAGAAAACATATTTCAATTCACATTTAATTTTTTGTCTCTGATGCTACCTGGATTTTACCAAAAACAAAATAATTTCCATGGCTGAGGATGACTGAATGTACAGTTGAAAGTACTAACAGATTAAAAAAAGACCTTATACAGCTTGTAGTTATTAAAAACAAGGGTCATAACATTTGAGTGGTTTGTAGGTTAATGCAACTTTAAAATTTTGTTTGTGAAGAGATTTCAACATTTTATATCATTAACTTTACTAATCTACTTTTTGTATGAATGATTCATTGTAATATATATATATATATATATATATATGTATGTATATTCAAAAACCACAACATCAAGATCATAATTATAGCATTTATTCAATGTGACATAATTTTTCATTGTCAATGTTTATTTAATGTGAATAAATGGATCATAATTTTTATAATTAATTTAAGACCAATTTTCATCATATTACTGTTTCTTGTATCAAAATAGTCTAATTTGGTATACAAATATTAAAGTAAAAAATGTGAAATAAGAATAAAAAAAGCTTGGAATGAGATTTGAACACACACTCCATATCTTGGGAGGCCCTTATATGGACAATGCCTTAGCCAACTCAATTAGAAAATTTCTAATGAGACTAGACTTGAATCTATAGCCATATGGCCTCCTATTTCTTATACTACATTGTTTGTTAGTCATCTTAAGTTTTTGAATTTCAATATGATATATTTTCCTTTTTTACATTTGGATTACTGTCCTCATCTTTGTTGTTATGATAATTCCTTATCCCAGAAATTCAGACAATAATATTTGTTATTATTTTTTTTATGAGTTCTTCATTTTGTTTTATTCTTTCTTCTAATGTTTCAGATTGCTGCCCTTTTTTTTTTATTATTAAACTAAGTAACATGAAACCAGAACAAAGAAATGGCTCTCAACAAAACTCTTGTTCCTTATTTTAGAAGCTTCTTTTACATGAATGACACTTTAACCATTTCTATTATGCAAGAAACCTTGTAATTTTTTATGATAAAAATACAGCAATATTTAACCTCCATATCTGCAAAAAAACAATATATAAAAAGGATAGTGATTCCTTTGATACCACTATTACTGTATACACTTTTGACTCCCTCAGCAATGTTTATTGTTTTAAAAAGTGATGATTTGAATTTTAATAAAATCCAAACATATGAAAGTGGATTTATGCATTTTCTTTATTCTTGACAATTGACAACAGTAATTAATTGATATTTTTATAAAATTATGAATGAAAAAAATTGTTTTTATAATTATTTGTAAAATAGTAAATAATAAATATATAGGAAATGATGCAATTTCTCGTCAAGGAAAGTTCTAGAAAAATCAGATCAACTTTGGTGCAATTCTTAATATATAAATGCCTATGAATATTTTCTAAACAAATAAAACACTCGACCACATATTTTGACCAATCAGGTGTAGAAAAAATATGTGTTCACTTCATAAGAAATTTGTAGAGCTAACGCATGTGTGTGTGATCCCATCAGAGCATTTAAAAAATTAGAATATTGTCAAACTGCTTCAGAACAGTTTACTTGTCCGGCAAGATGAACACAATTGTGTCTCACTGCAGCCCGCTCCTTTGACCGCTGAATGAACAAATTACAATTCTCAAGTTGGCGATAATGCTTTTAATATCATGTGGCTGCTGATATTTCTCTATAACTTGCAGAGACTTTAAAGAAAAACAAAACATGAACAACTAATTTTTGTTATCAGATATTTCTGCAAGTTCTTGTGTTGTAACAAAAAGAAGGAAATCAAAACTTCTTTATTTTGTTACACTCATGTTAATCATTTTCTATTAACATTAGTACCATTACAAATATTACATTGTAGTTGGTTTATTTTGTAATTTTTTATAAATTTTTTAATAAAAAGATTTCATTTTGAATTTATTTCATTATAAGAGATAAATAATAAATATCGCATTGTGCTTGGTTCACATATTTTTAGAATCATGTGAATAAACATGGCTGAGGGAGTCAAAAGTGTATACAGTAATAGTGGTGTCATAGTAATAACTGTTTTTTTGACATATCATTTTTTGTAGGCACAAAGATTAAACATTGCCAAAAATACAATATATTAATATAAATATATAGTAGCTATATCCAATAATAGTTGTTAATATTTTGTGTATGAAATGTGTATGTAAATATAATTATTATAGGACAGGGATAGTAATAAATAATTGTTACTTTCATACATATTAAATATGTAAGCATAAAAGGATTGGTTTTGTCAGTTAATATACAAAATTCTGAATAATGACTGATAAGTGTTATATACTAAAAGTGAATTCTAATTTATCCTTCATATTACATTTGAGATTAATTTATTTCCCATTTGTTTGAATATTTCATATATGTTGATACACTGAAATGTTCAAAGCTGTTGTATTTGTTTTATAATCTACCAATTAAAACAAAAGAAAATTGAAGAATGAACTCAAGCACCATATTTGATGACTAAAAAGTGATTTGATTTAATGAGTTTAATGTTATATATATATATATATATATATATAGAGAGAGAGAGAGAGAGAGAGAGAGAGAGAGATTAGAGAATTGAATTTAAATTATTTCTTCTATTTAAAAGACATATAAAAGCAGATGTGATTGAAACACTGAGATTTACTAAGCTTTGTTTAATACACAAAGCTAAATAAGGCAAGAAAGTTTGTATCATTCCAATCTTCCAGTTAGAAAGGGCTTGCTTAAGATATCATCATGAGAGATCCTGGTTTTTAGTTGTGACTGAACACTGATACCTGCTATGGGAAATATTTAATTATTTCAACAGATTAAGATTTCTTATTTTGCTCAATTTAAATTTGTTGTTATTCAGACTTTGCCAAAGAAATGATTCACACAAGCCAGATTTTAAAATGTAAAAATGAAGAATGAAAATTGTGACAGGCCATATAAATAAAATTTAAAAATTTACAATGAGAAAAATTAAATAATATTTGTGAATTAAATAATGGAATATCTTCAGAAATCATTTGAGTTGAAAATAATTCAGCATTGTCAAATTTAGATAAAGTCCAGGTGTTCCTGAAATTAGAGTTACTACTGCTTGAAGGATTTAAAATTCTAGGAAAACTCTAAAGATGGAAGAGGTGAGGAAAAAATATGAGGTGTCTGAAAAGTAGCACCCTTTATTTGAAATGTTGATATTGAATTTAGAAATTGAATTAATAGTATATTATTTACATCATAGATTATAATATTTGCATTAATTGAAATAGTATTTATATATAAATTAATGTAAAATATGTACATTGAGATATACTTTTCAGTTGCCCTATGTAAATTGAATGGATTTTAAGTTCTGATTGTTTTACAGTTTTGTTTTAGAAAAAATTCCATTCGATTTGTATTTTCTCACAAAAACAAATTTGCAATCTTCAAATTTGAAAGCCAAAAATTATTAATTGTTAATGTCAATGGCTTCAAATTATTAATGGTTAATGTTAATGGCTTCAAGTTATTAATGGTTAATGTTAATTTTTCAAATTATTAATTGTTAAAGTTAATGGCATCAAATCATTAATGGGTGAAATTAATTGTTTCAAATCATTAATTGGTAAAGTTAACAGCTTCATATACTTAACTGGTAAAGTTAATGGTTTCAGTAGAGACAGTAACAGTTTTACTGGTTAATTGTCTGAAGATTAACTGACTTATACAGTTAAAATGATTTCTGCATCTTTTTAAATTGAAATATTTCTGGAGTATAAGACTGATAATGAAATGTTTTCTAAAGAATACTTGTCAGCAGTTGACTAGAGAAAAATTTGTATGAAAATAGAATTATTTTGATGCATCTAGAGATTTTAGAGGCAGCAGTGTAAACAACAAAAACAAGTCAATATTTTTAAGCAGTGGAATAATAATAATAATAATAATAATAATATAAATGAAGCAGTTCTATAAAATTGGCTGTCTTTTTCAAGTGACAGCTATGACAGTTGTAGTAGTGGTGTTAGTTTTATTAGTATGTGTGGGAGACGTATGAAACACTTCAGTAATAAGCTATGCTGCCTGCTGTGGGTAAGGTAAGATGTTCTACGACTACAATCTGGATTTCAGGATGCCTAAGCTAAGGGAAAAAGGCTATCACTGAAGGGAACATGGAGGTGAGCCGAGTGCATCGTGGTGGGCCATATGTCGTTGAGACGGCCCCGAAGTGTAACTGGTAGTGTGTTGAGAGGTGCTGGAGGCCCCTGCGTTGGCACCAGACCCACCAGCAGCCGCAGATCCAGCACCTCTGTCCGATTCTAGTCACCTGGGTGGATGGTCCTTTCTTGAAAGGGGCTTGTTGCCCAACAGTTTATCCAGCTCATTCATCAATGTTGGTGTCAATTTGGGTACATACTGAAATTAGAAAATAAAATAAAAACAATGATGTCACAAGGTTCAGTCAAGAAAGAAAATTAATGTTGTCACTTGTATAGAATGTGCACATAGTTCATTGGTTATTGTTGTGCAAAGTGGAATCAAAAAGCTGAGTCCAAATTCTTCACACAAATATCCTTGTGAAAGATATAAATCCATCTCTTCTTCTCCAGCTATGGATTCAATAGTTGTGCGAACTGGGATCTTTAGCCTTGGTTGTTAATCAGTTTAGGAGAACTGCAACACTGAATTCAAAACCAGTTGAATATGGGGCTGGAAAATTCATCCAATAAAAAGCTACTTGCCAAAGAAACCACAATAGCAACACTTAGTTTAGTGTAGCTGTGGACTTATTCACTACAGGGCAGTCTTATGGAACTAAAGAGTGAGAGAACTTATCCAGGTATATATATATATATATATATATATATATAAAGTGGACATTGAGGTCAACACTCAGGAGCAACAGTCTGTTTCATGCTTAAATGTAATCGTGTCAGGCCTGACAATTGTGTTTAAGCATGAAACAGACTGTTGCTGCTGGGTGTTGACCTCAATGTCCACTTTTATATTTATATACACTCCATCCCTGATACTGAGTTCTTTAACCCATAAATATAGCATAGCTTAAAACTATATTTTTATTATATATATATTTATTTATTATTGAATCAGAACTAATAACATTCAATATTTTATTTCTGATTCAATAATTATTGCTCTAGTCAAATATTGAGCATTTCACTGACAAAAATTCTGTCTCCCCTTGATATGCATTAAGTTATATAATTTTACATACATCAATAGGTAGTATTATTATTTTATTTTATATTTGTCTATGCACGGAATATTGCTGCTGCTGTATCTGGTTTGGTGCTCTGCCTATATATCGAAATTCTTGACAAATTCCAAAGATGAATCTGTAATGTTATCAGACCTAACCTGGCATCTTGATTTCAGTCACTTTCCCACTGCTGAGATGTGACTCCCCTCTGACTTTCCCACTGCTGAGATGTGACTCCCCTCTGACTTTTCAATAAATATTTTCATGGAAATTAATCTAATGAGCTCTCTTCCTTGGTACCTCAAATGCATGAATTGGCAAATAGGTCCCATCGTTTTACCATTGTTTTTATTAGCTACATGTAACCCTAAGTTTTATTCTAATAGTTTAATTTCTCACACATCTTGCCTGTGGAACTCTCTTCCAGTTCCTTGCTTGCCTGACACCTGCATTAATCAAAACTTTAAATGCAACATCAATCATCATCTTTCTGTTCTTTTCTTGTCTTTTCTCCTCACTAACATCTTTTCATTCACTTTCAGTAACCTCTTGTGCCTTGTGTTTTAGTGACATTATCACCTTGCTTGACGTGAAATGATGTATGTATATATATATATATATATATATAAAATTTTAAAATTTGGATAGTAAAAAAGCTGAAATGACTCAAATTCTGGAAGTTTTTCAAACTTACCTGTATTGCCTGAATGTTTTCATACAATTGGTCAACAGATGTAGCCCCAAGCAGTACACAGTGAACTGTCTCATTTCGCAGACACCATGCTGAAGTTTAAATAAAATTGTGAATAAATTTACAACATTCCTGGAAAATTGTTTCTCTAGATTTCACATCTCTGTTAATTCATTTTAATATTAAAATTAAGATAATAATTGGACACTGAAAAGGAATTCAGCTAAAGCAAGAATTTACATTTAAATTACCAAGAATTTGGTTTATCAAGAACACGATTTTCTAGTGAATGTAAAGTATAAGACATATTTAGGTAAGTACTTTGCAAGTACTCAAAAAAATGACATAAGAAATAATTAAAAAATATAATTTTTATGTTTTAATGCATGCAAACTTTTTTCTTTGTTTTGCTTGCTATATGAAACTAGTTATCTCCCTTATTCACATCCACTAATTTGTCTTGTCAAAATAGTAAATACTGTTGATGAAGTCATGGTATACAATGATACTCATTAAACTGGGAATGGAAGAAAGATCCTTTAATTGGGCATGAGAGGTCAAAGCACAATATGTGTGACAATTGATCTTGAAGAAAATATTTTGGTATGAGATGAGTGTGGGGCTGGGAGCTGTGTTTTCTGATTTTTTTCTAATCAAACTGGCAGGAGGGAGGAGTTAAAGCTTCATAAAAAAGGAACTATTTTTGCCAGCTAGCTCAGTCCATCATTGTGAGCACTAGTGGATCTTTATTTGATACTCTTTGCTTTCTGCATTTCCCAAATCTAGTAGCAGCCATCCAAGCCTCAATGTTGAAGTGCATAAATAAACATGAATGATTCCTCCAAATGTTTTTTTGTCATCCGTGATTTTTGAGTCACTTTTCAATCACACCTCCTTTTCTACATCAAGCCATAATGATCACCCAAGAGTGGTATATAAAACCTAACTAGGTCCAAGATTCAGTGCTACAATGATTTGACAGAGCCTCTGTCACAGAGAGGTGGTAAGCAAAATTGTCTCACTGATCATTTGAACATAGTAAGTGCCTCACTCTTGTGGTCTTGTGTCAGAGCAAATCTACCTTAGTATTTTTCATGATTAAAGAATATGTTTCTTTGAGAAACTTGTAATGATATTAAGGTACCAGTTTGTTACAGGAGTCATTAGTTTATAATAGAATTCTCATTTGTTGGAACTGGAATATTTTCTTGTGTTGAAAAGAAATATATATTTATGTGATAGATTCTAGTGTAGATATTGTGCTCGAGGGAGCTGTATATAGACAGCATTAAAAGCAGATATAAGGAACTAAATTAGAATGAAAATTTGAAGTGACACACATTAAGGGAAGTGTTAGTAACCAGCAAACGAGATCATCTCTAAGAAAACTAGATAATGAAAGGAGGAAAGGATGATATAATTCTTGACATGAAAATGAGACAGTGAACAATGCCAGGGTATTTCATAGAATATAGGACACTGCCCAAAAATTAAAAATAAATGCAGGCAAGCAAAAGAGGAATGGCTCAATTAAAAGTGTGCTGAAATAGAAAGAATGAGCATCATGAATAAGGCAGATATTCATCAATAGGATGTGTAAAATCAAAAGAGGAAATGCTGATAACAGAAAAAAAATAAATATTTCAAAGATTGAATGAATATATCAGAGAACTCTTCCACAAAGAAAGAGGAAAACCTGCAATATACAAAAATATGGAAGGACCAGAAATATTAAAGTCTGAAGTGAAGTCAACACTGGTCAAATTGAACAAGAACAAAGCAGCAGGATGCAACGGAATTGTAATGGAGATACTGGAAGCTTTAGATGATTTCGGCATTGACAAAATTACTGACATATTATATGACACTAATGATATGCTAGAAGATCAAAGTAGATCCAATTTCATAATGTTGCCAGGTGCAAACAAATGTGAACTCTATTGGACAATCAGCTTAATGAGCCACATAATAAAACTCATCTTAATTGCAGTATAAACCATAGGTGGACTCTGTAGGTTGAGCAGATGTCTGTAATAGGGTGTAGCTAGCTACCCTGGCAGATGGATGTACTCAGAAACAAGTAGCAGCTGCCTATAGCATTAGTATCTTGTCTTATTATTGTCTTAGTAATATTTTAAGACATACATTATAATTGTTGTTTTAATGTAGTAAGATTGAACATTATAAAATCCCTGTCAATCATACATGTATTAATTCCTGGACATTGAAAACCCCTTTCTTCTTTATTTTCAATACATAACATGCAAATGTTAAAAATTAATAAAACAACTGCCAAAATTCTGGAGTTAAGTCAGCTACTACATTTGAAGCCCTATCTGCCATTTATATTTCATCTTACAGTATTATAGAATTAACCTAGAGGCAAGTAGTGATAATCTCTTGCGTCTGGGTAAGCACTAGCCTATCAGATACTTCTGTATTATTTAGAAGACTAAAGAGACATTTTCTTTTATGTATTATCAAATTAACTACTTCCACATTTTATCATTCATGTTACGAGGGTCATTATTATTCATTGCCCTGTGAACCATTTTCATAGAGTGCTTTCAATGTGTTGACTAATAATAGTACATTTTTAAGAAAGTACTTTTCTAACTTCAATTTAATATTTTGCAAAGATTTTTAGGAGGTAAAGTAGCAGGTAAATAGTAAATAATAGGTATTTTAAATTATTAATTCTATACTTACTATATCTATTCATATATTAAATGTCTTATGGAAATTTTAACATCAGTTTAAATTCTCTGATGGTGTGTTGAGGGGTTCTTAGGATGATTAAGAAAGAATTTACAAAAAAAGTATTCTACATTGAGTGTTGTTGGTAATAAAACAGTGCTTAATGTATAATAAAAGAGCTAAAATTTATACTAATAATAATCAGACATTTTGTTACACACCAGTAACACTGTAATCTACTGCAGTAGATTATAGTGTTTTACCTATTTTGTATTGGACTTTTTTTTAATCCATTTATTTTCTGCATAATCATTTTCTGGAGCACTGTATATATAGGACATTTTTCAATTACCTGTGTTATTTTTTTTTATATATCCATTTATTTTGGTATAATACATTTTCAGTTTTCAATGGATTTTTTATATATATATATATATATATATATATATATATATATATAAATTTTACAACAGTCAGTTTTCAATCATGTTATTTTTTTTATATATAAATTTTACAGCAGTCAGTTTTCAATGTTATATTTTATATATATATATATATATATACCTGTGTTATTTATATATATATATATATATATATATATATATATATATATATATATATATATATATATATATATATATATTACAGCAGTCAGTTTTCAATCAGTACCTGTGTTATTTTTAATTATTATTATTATTAATCTTGTTTTTTGAACATGCGGTCTTGTTAGGTGGTTAGCCAGGTTACTTAGCCACCTGACAAAACCTCACAGTTAAAACCAAGGTAGTGTGGTAGGATATAGTGTTTTAACTTTTTTGTGCATATATATATATATATATATATATATATATATATATATATATATATATATAATTAATACAAGTAAAAGGTTTGTCCTTAGCTGATTGATGTTACCTTCATCATCCTGAGTTTCTTAGATGGACTCTCCAGGAATTATTCTGTTCACTCATCAGTGGGTATCAGCAATTGACTGCTTGTACTTCTCAATTTTTCTTTTTTATATATTGTCAGATTTTGGGAAGATATTCAGGTCAATAAATTTAGTCTGATTTGGAGAAGGGGATTAATCTATGAAGTTTTTATTTATCTTTTTGTATCATATATAATTAAAATGTTTTCACAGTAAAATTCAAAAGTATGTTTTTACTTACCAATAGCAAGTTGTGCCAGGGAACATCCCAGTTTATCTGCAACTACTGCTACTTCTCTTAACCGGGCTTGTTGTTTTCGACCTTCTTCACTAAGAATCTTGTCTTTCAACCAGCCATAATTCTGAAAATGAATTGCTTTCTTATCAGTGCATCACATTTTCAAATATTGAGAAAAAATATTACAAAATGATTATTTGACCATAAAAACATGTTCATCGTATCAAAAATTCTTGCCTCAATTTTTAGCAAATGAAAATTGTTTCTTCACTATTTTCAATGCATTCATATAGGGAAATTATTAGTGCTTTATTTACAATATCTCTTTTCTGTCTGTGTTAAGAAAAGATGCTTTTTACCTAAGCATACTGTGTTCAAATATAGTTATTGTTTCATTACCTACCTACAACATACACCAGCATTTGCTGTATCATGTCAGATTTTATTATGCAATCAAGTTTGATAAAATTTTCAGGATAGACTTACATAGAAAAAATAAATAATAATAATAACAACATTAATTCAGTTTTGTTTAAACAGAACATGGCAAATATTTACATCCCTTAGTGTCCCTCATAGTTTTCCTTTCTTTTCCTTAATGTTGAGAGGTTTTTCAATATTTTAAAGTTCTCTTTATTAGAAACTTGAATGCATAATATTATTTTTTGCGGTGTTATTTTTTCTGTGTGTATAAATACAGATTCCTAAATAAAATACATTTACCTTGATAAAGCTCCTCAAGGAATGAAACACACTGGCATAAAAGGTTTTCTTCCTATTTTTTCTTTTATTGTTTTTGAAGATACATTTATTTATATCGGAATTTTACACATGCATAAATTTATATAAGTAATATATCATGAGTTTTAGCTTATAATATCTATCCTTGTTAAAAATATTGATAATATTTTTATAATATTTTGATAATATGCTTATTGAAAATATTGATAATATCTTTATAATATTTTGATAATATGCTTATTGAAAATATTGATACTTTATAATATTTTGATAATATGCTTATTAAAAATATTGATGATATCTTTGCAATATATTGATCTTTTGATAATATCCTTATTGAAAATATTAATAATATATTTTTTATAGGTGTCAGATTTATTATGCAAAGTAGATTGATTTTTATTTCTAAATAAACTCAATATAGGCCAGAGAAAGAGATATTTGATTAGTGCAATATCCCTATATTTGAATCAATTTTTACTTTATTATTTTACATTTAATATGGGCTCCTTGACTTTCTATAATCATCATCACTCTTATATTCTCTGAATTTTTAACTGTTTCAATTTTAATATTACTTGCAGCAGTTACTATTTTATTTTTATTTTCACAGATATCGCCTTTATTTGAACATTTTTCATCATCAAATACATCTCTTTTAATGATGAATCACAAGTTTTATATTGGATAATGGAGAGGCTGAAAATCAGTTCATTAATTTAGTGTTTTTGAAAACTTTTATGATAAGTTAGGCAATAGTCAGCTTTTGAAGGAGCATTTTTTGCAGGAATATTTTCTTTAGCTTAAAGATTCATGGTTGTCTCCTGTATCATTTAAAATATGTCTTATCCTAGATTTTACAATAATTCTCTACACTAATAACTACAATTATATAATTTATAATAATAATTACAATGTTAATAATTATCTTGCCACCATCGTTAACTTTGATGGTGCTTATAACTGAAATACTAGCTCAAAAAAAGTATTCACTTTCTCTCCTGTTGCTTTCAAAGCTATGTTGGTTGGCTATTTCCATGAGGGATCCAACCTCTTGTCTATCTGGTTCATCCAATGTAGTTCTACATTAATCATTAAATATTAATATTGAAAAATAAGTTTTTATGTACTTCTTCACTCAAATATTTCTTTTTGTGATGTTTATTTAAAGATGATAATTTAGTTGCTTTTATATAAAAAGAAAAGTAGGAATGTTATGAAAATAAGCCATGATCTAGTAAAATAAAAGTTCAAAATCTTTATTTTTCTCTCTCTATTAAGTGAAATGAACAAACACAAAATTATAAAGCCCAAATAGGACAAAAACTGGAGAAGGTCAAGGAGTGTAGCAGCTGAAACATTGTGAAAAGAAAAAATGCCCACGATAAAGATGAAAGTTTCAATGGTTTAGTGCTTAAGAAAAAATGTTTGAAAAAAGTCATAATAATGGAGTCCTCACAAAATAATCTAAAATGTCTACAAATGAATTGTGCCAAGAGAAAGGTGACAATAATTACTTACCTTGAGAGCTGCTCGTGAATAAATTGGAACTCCATCGTCATACTTGCCTGTGAGGATTCCTGATGCCAACGGGGACCAAATTGTTGTCCCAACACCTTTGACATAGAACAAAAAATTTAAATGAATATATTTAAAAATTTTTTATTAAAAATGAGTTTTTAAAGCGAGCTGACTCTTTTTATTGAGGAGCCAACCTTTTAAAAGAATCAATTCAACCACACAGTTAAATTGAATTATCTTAACACCCCTTAATCAAGTCAGCTAACCTTTCTAATAATTCATTTAATTGCCCACTTCGTGAGTAGAACTTATAATTTTCAATAACAGAATAAAATATGGAGTAATCTGGCACACTTACCAATTTTTTGGTAAATTTCGGGCATGTGAAGCTCAACTTTATCGCGATGAAACATATTGTATTCTGCTTGTTCAGCGATTGGAGGGATCAAGTTGAACTGTCGAGCGACTGCGTAGCATTCCTGATTTAATGTTACAAAGGGAAAGTGGATTACATGGTAAAGAAAATAAAAAGCAGGTATTAGTAACAACAATGTGTGCAGAAAAAGATGAAGAAAAGGCATGAATTTCAAGAAGGGGGTTGTTACATAATTAATTTTGTTTAGCATCTGAAAAATAGTGAAAAGAATCATATTGTTTGGCACTGCATGTGTTAGATCTTAAAATTAGGATTTACATTTTTCTTTAAGTGAACAAAGTAGATTTTAAGTACTAAGATTCAAATAATCATTCTTTTTTTAAATAGAAAAATTTTCATATTTCTTAAATCTCAGGAACAAACACATAAAGAATGATTTTATATCCCTTCATAATAAAATGGTACAAACATTAAAAGAAAAGACAGACCTATTTTTACTGTTTCTTTTTAATGGAATTGAGAGAGAAAAAAAATCAAATATTAAAGATGCTTTTTATATGTTATTTTACTGTAAATTATTTTGCTATTTTAATATAATAAATGTGTTTACCATAATTTCTGTTGGGCTCCAACGTGATGTGCCCCAGTACATGGCCCAACCTTGGTTGATGACATAAGTGAATGCACGTACGATTTCTGAAAATAAATGTAATAATTTGAAAGTGAAAAGTTATTCTTTGTCTTGAAAAACTTCCATAGAAGAATTGTGAAGTATATGCATAAAATAAAAGAGCATTATTTATACCATTGAATTAACTGGAATGAAAAGATCAGATTTAGTTACTGAGTGATTTTTATTTGATGAAAGGGTATTCACTTTTTGTATTAGTGGATGTAAAAAAGCTTAATGCACTGTTTTTGTTTGGTTTTTACATAAAAATTAAATACTTATGAAGAAAATATTATAGAAAAATAAATAGTTTAAATGCATTATTTAAGCATCTACTGAATTAGTTTAATTAAAAAATTAAAAAATAAAATCTTGAAATTTCCTCAGTTTTCAATAAGAATTACAAAGTCAAGGGGAAGTAACTCTTAGAGAATATTCAAAGATTTTGTTTAAGGATCTTTTTATTGATAGTTTTTATTTTTGTTTTACAACTATTATTCTAAACAGTTTTTAAATTTTGATTACATAAGATTAACAATCAATTTTTTTAAAAGATTATTCCTTGATAATTTTCTTTTCTAGAACTATTTTAGAATCAGAAAATACATTTTAGAACCATTTAGAACAAAAAAAAACCTTTAAAGTCAAAATAGAAAGCTGGATTCAGATAAAATGTAACAATTAACCCAAGTATACAGGAAAATATCATGAGAATGATCATGTATAAGAATATTATAAACAAACATTATGTTCATAATCATAGACAATATGTGTTTATATCATAGATGGTATTATTTTATAAGAAAGATACCAAAGTTTTTAGTCTCATATTTTTCTAAAGAATTAATGGATTTTATTTTTAATCCAACATTAATATTACTTCAAACAGTATCATTTCAGACTCTATATATCCCACCCTCTCCATTGATTTTAATCCTTACTACCACCTGAACAGTGTATCCTATGCAGAAAATTGTCAGTAGCAGGATAATTTGGGGTGTGTACATAAACATATATATATATATATATATATATATATATATATATATATATATATATATATATATATGAGTTGGGATCAAATATGGATTGGAATCTGGTATTTTTACTTTTGTTGTTTGATTTTCATTGGTTATATGCTACATGTGCATTTGACTTGTTAAACAAATGTTAGTGAATTTGGAATGCCACAAATTATACATTAGTTTAACTAATTGAATGTGCATGAAACATGATTAACCAATGAAAATCAAACAAAACAAAAGTAAAAATACCATAATTTTTTTTCTTAAACATTTCCTATTTGTTCTTTATCTCATATATATATATATATATATATATATATATATATATATATATTGGTCAGAAGATAACATAGAAGCATGAAACTGACAGTCACCATGCTGTGCTGATTCTTATGTTCACAATTTCTATATCTCCCGTTATATATTTGTATATATCAAGCAATCTCACCTCTTTTGTTCAAGGCAGTGATGGTAATGTTTTAATCACTATTAATTCCTTTTATAATACTTCTTATCTTGGTTTGTTTCCTGATCCATGTCATCCTCTTTATATCTCTTAGGATTTCCTGTACTCTTTTCATTGATCTTTGTGTGTTCCATGTTTGTTTGAAGCATATTGCCATGATGCAATTATGTCACTATTTTTAGTAAATGTTTTCCAACCAATTAGTATACATAGTTTTATTTCCTTTACATGGCCTTTCTTCAATGTTGTCACCTGTCCTGAGAAGATGTATTACTGGACTTTTTCTACCTTTTCATCATTTATTCTTAGGATCTTTTTCAGAACATTACAATTGAGCCTTGTTTTGTTTAATTTTTAAATCTACATTGTGACTTTCCAAAATGAGACTCACAGAAAAGATAAGAAACTCTTACAGCTGAATGAAAATAGCAATTCATTATAGAAAATAAAAAATTAGAATTTTTAGTTAATTATAGACAGTATAGAAAGGTTCAATTGTAATGTTTCATTATTATAGTCATAAATTAGTCACTTCTCATTATAATTTGGGAAATTATAGTGAGAAGTGACTATTATATGACTATAACATTAATAATTTCGGAAGATAGTGACCTAATTAAAATAATAAGATTGTTTTCTTTCTCTATTTTCATGTTCAATTTTTGCTTGCTAGCAGCATTACAAAATCCAGATATGCCTGATGGAATATTGCACAGGAAATATTTAATATTTTTCAATTTTTTTTCATCTTCATATTTGTTTCCACTGGAAAAATTAGACATTTATTAATCAGTAAAAAACTGAACTAAAAACAGAATATAAAACATCCCATCTTGCTGTATCAAGGAATACAAAGGTAAAAGACATGTTCACTCAAGATGACACTGATGAGATGTAATCTGGTGAGAATTTAAAAGATCAGGCATAGCAGCTCACATATAGCTCTAAAGGGAAATAATTACATCTTGAAATGAAGTTGATACAATTGACAAAAAATACACCAAGGAAAACATGGTAAAAAGAAAAAAATCTGCATATATGAAATTGTCAAAAGAATTCCCATTAGGTGGAAATAAATACTATACAGAAGCCAATAAAAAATAGCACACAAAAAAGCAATACTCCTTAACTATATAGCCCATCTACAGTATCCCACAATGCAATACTGCTAATGAATCAATAATGGTCAATGCAACAGGTAAAATCTCACATGAAGATGGTTGAAAAATGAACCAGCAAAACAAAAATGCTATGAGAATGAAAAAAAAAAGAAGCAAAATGAAAAAAATATGAGTATAATCCCCCCCACCAAATCAGGAAATATTATTAAAAGCAACACTTGACAAAAACTGACTCAGAAAATTTGTATTCTTTTAAAATATCATTAGCTCACACGCACACAAATAATGTTTGGCTATGAGCAGTTGTTAGTTTAATATTTTGTTATTTCATAAGCCTATAATACTTTCTGGTTTCTCATTAATAACAAAGAATACATTATTTAATTTCCCCTAAGAAGAAGTATACAAATACCTTAAGTCATAAAAATAATGAAAAGGACGATGCATATATTATCTATAACAGTAAATTATGCCCATCAGTTGAAGCAATTTATTTATTTACAATAAAGAACAGTTGAAAATCTATGCAGTCATTTTTGATCATTAATAAATTATTTAGTCTGTATTATAAAGTTCAGATGTATTTTTAATATCAAATAAAAACGTTATTTTGAATATGAGCAGAAATGTAGTGATAATAACATAACTAAAATGCATTTAATTTTGATATCGAGTGAAAGAAATGAAATCTTTAGTTAAAGGGAAGTAACTCTGAATCGACTCTAGTGTCAAATAATCAGTGAAACGCATTTCAAATCTATTTCATTCTTAGTTTTATTATTTTATTATTATGGGACGAACGTAAGTTTGCCAACTCATTTCAGTAAACTACATTAATATCTAATCAACAATATGGCTTAACGTCCAAGCTAACAAAAGTTGTATAAAAATTGTTTAATACAATTGAAAAACAACTGCTTGTGACTAGGATAATGTTTTTGTTTTTTTTGCTTCCAAGCAGAAATTTATTTTCAAACTTTTACTGAAAAAGTTCACTTTTATCCTTAAGTATGAAAAGGTCTTAAGAAGTTTTAGAAATAACGAAAAGGGCAAAATATATAATGTTAGTAACATTAAATATAACAGTTATCGGTTGAAGTTACTCGTTATAATATTTACAATAAAGAAAATCTCTACTGTCCTATCTGATTATAGATAATTTATCCAATCATTATTACTAGATGCAATTTTATTTTTAACAACAATTAAAAGCATCAATTTGCACATGAGTAGAAATGCATTGATGACATATCCAGTGTGTATAAGGTGAGTCAGTTGAAGGCAAATGAGATATAATGGCAGCGTCAATGAGGATGACATGCACTTTCACAGACACATGGACAGACAGACAGACAGGATATGAGTTACATTTTGAAAGATGATGGGCAAATAAGTAGAAGAGAGATTGATGAATAGAAAAAACATAGAAAATAAATGTGTGCTAACATTTTACAGGCAAAAGTTGATAAGATAAAAATGGCTCCAGGCAAAAAGAGAAAATAGTGGGAATGAAAAGCAAAATGGAGAAAAATAGATTAATTAATTCTGTAGAATTTTGTATTTAAAAAGTTTTACTTAAATTAAGTCAGCATATTAGAATGTCTCATGCTCAACTTCTTGAGAGCTCCTCTTTGCGACTACTTGGTCTCACATTGACTGCTGACCTGAGATGGAACAAATATATTGAGTCAATAGCTTCGTCCACTGCAAGGAAAGTTGGCTCCTTGTGCCGCACCAGGAAACTTTTCTTGCCGGAGTTGATCCTTCAAATCTACAAATCAACCATTTGCCCTTGTATGGAGTATTGCTGCCATATATGGTCTGGTGCCCCTTATGTTTGTCTCAAGGTTCTTGATAAGATCCAGAGACAGATATGCAACTTAATTGGCCCTGATCTGTCATCATGTCTGCAGTCACTCTTTC